TTCTAGGGTATTTCCAAAAGCCAGTGTTGCAAAATTCGACGAAGCTCAAATTTAATGTAAAGGTATTTATTGTTGTAAATAAATACTTTTACAATTTGCGAACACTTTCGTGAATTACTCAAGTCCCCGCCAAGGAATTCTTATGCAAAAGCAATTTAAAGGTTTAATTATCTTTGGGAGGAATTGAAATTTAATTAATATTTCAACTACTTTACTATGTAAATATTTAAAAAAATTATAATAGCACAGGTAATTTGAATAATTTACTCAATATATTAAATAAATTAATCAACTTAATCATTTCAAATACTTAACTAAGTGAAGAATGGTTTTAGAATGTAATTGCTCAAGTAATTAAAAGTATTCACAATAATCAATTAGAATACTCTGCTTAGTAATTGCTCAGGCTACTACAAATACTTAATCAATTAAATACATTATTTATTCAATGGGCTTAGTCAATTTGAATACTTAACTAAATGAAGATTTTTAAAAAGTAATTGCTCAAGTATTTAAAATGATGTACTTAAGAAATTCATCAATTACTCAAGTAATTGAAATTAGTAAAGTAATTACTACTAGGTACTCGGCAATTACAGTTACTGTCGCTTACAAATATTTAAATAATTAATTAAATCAATTAAATTTTTCATATAATTAAACCTTTAAATTACTTTAAAAAGGGTTCTAGTTTTTTGCTTTGATTTTGTGCCCAATAAAAATCTCGTGCTAGTTATTTTCAGTAGTTTTATTTATATAGAATTTACTTTCCCTTCTTTTCATCTTATTTTTGTTGTTGTTGTTGTTTTTTTTTTTTTTTTTTGTTTGTTTGTTCTGTGTTTCATTCTTTACTCTTTTTTTTGTTTTGTTTGTTTGTTTGTTAGTTTTGTATTGTTCTTTTTTTTATCTCGCTCATAATCTTTGTTTATGTTTTGTTTGTTTGTTGTTGTAGTTGTTGTTGTTCTTGTTGTTTTTTTCTTTGTTTTATAAACGGCTACGCTTTCGTCAACTAGAAACTGCGCTGTCTAGGCTATATAGCAGGCATTATGCGAGACCCTATATCATATCATATATTGTATGTATTTCTTTATCTTTGCTAGGTCCTCTTAGGTTAACCTTGTCACCTAGCGCTGTCTAGCCTGTTTATCTGCTGCTTCTGCTTCTTCTTCTTCTCGCTTGTCTTCTACAACATATTCTCGTAACACTCCAAGTTTTGGGTCCTAAGTAACTCCCGTTAAGCCTTTTTGCTTAATAGTGTGCTATTGAATTTCGATATTCCAAACCGATTTTTGCTTTGGGAATTTTCCTGTTCTGTGTGTGTGTGTGTTTTTCGGATTTGTGTGTGTGTGTGTGTGTTTGTGTGTATTTCGGTTTCTTTATTTTTTTTATAAACTATGATATGCCTTGCTTTGCTTAAATATTTTGTTTATAAACTTTTTAGCTTTTCATTTAATAATTTTATATAAATTTTGTTGCCTTTGGGGTTTGCCTAAAATATGTTTAATTTACCATTGTGTGTACGTGTATTGGTGTGTGTGTGTGTGTGTGCGTGTATGGGTATGTCAGTTATTGAATTTCTCATCTAAAATATTTGTTGTTGCTTGTTTGCGTCTATTTGTTGGTGCCTGATATAAGCTGCTCGCATTATTAAGTCATTGTTCATTATTCATTATTCATTATTCATTACGAGTACTTGACTTGTTTCCATTATTCAGCATTGGACAACTCGAAAATGAGTTGGCTATAAGTGTTGCTCAGTGCTTTTAGTTTGTTTAAGGTTTTAGGTTTTACATTCGACTTGCTTCGACTACGAAAAAAATATATATATATATATGTAGGTATATATGTATATGTATATATCGATTTTTTAACCTTCCTTCTATCTGTGTATCGGTTGTTCTCTCGTGTTTTTTTTTTTGTATGTTATATTTTATTATTACTTTTCTCATATATTTTAAATCAAGCTCAAGCTCTTTAACTGGCCTTTAGTCCAGCTATAATCGTTATACAAAACTAACAAATACATAAGAGTTAATAATTAATTTGAATTTAATGAATGAAATTGTCTGAGAAAGCTCAAGGATTCACAATTCGCTAGCGCGACTCAAACTTGATGCAAATGTGAGGGATGTGTGTGTGTGTGTGTGTGTGTGTGTGCGTGTGTGTGTGTGTGAGTTAAAAAATGAGTGAAACATGCGTTAAGTAAATAATGTTGTTCTTTATATCAATTTATTTGCGAAAAAATGATGTACTTTAAATATACATATATATAAATAAATATATATTTAAATATACACATATATATATAAATATATATATATATATATATTTGTTGTATATTAATTACTTATTTTAAGTAAAAAAAAAAAAAAACTAAAAATAATGAAATGGAACTTAAATTGCAATTAATATTAAATGTAGTTTTTTTTTTTATAGATTTCAAAAGTCTGCTTTGAATTTAAAAATTATTTAAATATTTTTAATGCGCTGTCAGATAAACAATTATATGTTTATATTTTTAATGGAACGCTTACAAATTAATATCAATAATACCTATGTATATGTATGTGTGTGTACGTTATAATTAAATTCAAACACAACTTAAGTTAAGCAATGATAAAATGAATTTAGTTACGCGCCTCTTAAACTACTTTTATATATTGTTTATTATTTTATTTGTGTGTGTGTGTTTGTGTGTGTGTGTGTGTGTGTGTGTGTGTGTGTGTCTGCTCACTTATGTTTAAAGAATTATTGTATGTTTAAATTGTTGCTCTTGCTGTCGCTTTACAGTAAGTTAATCATAATTTATAAATATGCATGTATGTCTATATTGTTAGGAACATATTGACGTAATTATAACGTATTGCAGCTATTTTGTGTGTTTTTTATTTTTATTTTTATTTTTATTTGCATTTTGTTTTGTTTCATTTTGTTTTTGTTCGCAAACACCTTTTCAACAGCTCAGAAGCGTTTCAGAAATTCCATTTTCGGTTTCTCAACTCAAAGCAGCTGGCAAATCTAAGCAGCCTCTTGATAACTACTTAACTACATGTTAAAAAAAAAGGAGAAAAAAAAAAAAAATAAAATAAAATAAAAATAAAACATTCTCATGTCAAGCCTCAAGCAAACTGCCAAAAAGTTTGCACAGAAAAAAAAAAATATTTTTTTCTTGCTTCTTGAGCTGCTTTCAAAGTCTATCTAATGGTGTGTGTACGAGTATGTGTGTGTGTGTGTGTGTGTGTGTGTGTGCTGTTTTTTATTTTTTCATCTTTTAAGAATTCAAAAATAATAATATGTATATTAAGTAATTAAATGAAACACCGCGCAATATAAAACAAACAAAAATAAAGGTGAGCCTCATAGGAAACGTAAAATTTCAACCGTTGTTAATTAAAAACTATTATTTAGCTATTTATTTAATAATAATATGTGTTGAATTATTGAATGTTCATGCTCAACTGTGTCTGTTCTGGTTGCATTCATTATTTGTTGTTGTTTACATTTAAGATAATTTTATTAATATATTTTAGTTCTTTTTGGATGTGGCAAAATTTGCTAAATTAAATTTAAGCGCAATGGAAATGAATCTTAATAAATGTTTTTAGAAAACATTCTTTACATTTGTAACATATTTATGCATGTTTATATATATGTGTATAAAACTAATGTATGTGTGTGTGTGTGTGTGTGTGTGACTGTCTGCCAATCATATATAAAATCAATGAAAAGAAATTCAACTAAATTACAAAATATTTTTATATTTATTTTTGCCTTTAAAGAATTTCTTTCGTAATTTTTGTTTTATTTTCTCTTCATATTTTTTTTTTGGGCTTCTTTTGGTTTTGGGAAGGTTAAAAAATGTTCGTTTTCTTGTTCAAAGTTTGTTTGCTTTTCTTAAATTTTATAAAGTATTTTTTTTTTAGTTTTCATTTTTTGTATTTATATATATATATATATGTATGTATATATATATATATATTTTGTTTTGTTTTGTTTTTGGTTGTAATATGTATTTGTATTTGTATTGTATTGTTGTGGCTGTGAAAATATTTGCGCTCTATAAACTAATATATTTCTCCATAATTTTGTAATTTGGTTTTTATGTTGTTTTCTGGTATTTTTCATAATTATTATTATTATATTATTTAAAACAAAATTTAAATATTTTTCGTGGATATGCAAAACTACTTTGTTGTTTGTTTCTTTGTTGGTTTGTTTGTGTTGTTTGTTTGTTGCTACTTTTTGTTGTTGTTGTTGTTGTTGTTGTTCTAGTTGATTTGGTTGTGAGTTTGTTTTATGCCTAATGCTAGGTCCTTGCTGACGCCTCGTCTGCTGCTTTGCCTAATAATTAAATTTTGTTTTGCCTTGTGTTTAG